AGAGAGAGAGAGAGAGAGAGAGAGAGAGAGAGAGAGAGAGAATTCCATGAAGAGTTATTAAGGAAAAACCATGAAACACATGAATCCTGTGTACATATGAGCACTCTAATCCCATGTGGATTTAGAAATGTAACGGGCTCTGTGGTTAAGAGCACTGGCTGCTCTTGCAGAGGACTTGGGTTCAGGTCCCAGCACCCACATGGTGGCTCACACTATCTGTAACTCTACTTTCAGGGGACCTGACACCCTTTTCTGGCCTCCATGGGCACTAGGTGTGTGTGCATGGGGTGGACATACATACATGCAAACACATATAAGGTAAAAAAAAACAAATCTTAATAAAAATATACAACCACAGCCGGGCATAGTAGCACCCCTGGGGAATCCTAGCACACAGGAGGCTGAGGCAAGCCTGTCAAGAGTTTAGGGCCAGCTTGGGCTACATAGTAGGTTCTTGCCTCTAAACAGATCTATACATCTGCAGGCCATAGACATGATAAACGACATGAGGTTAAGACAGTGATTAAATCTGAGGAGCCCTTCCTTGGCTTACCCTTCTTTCTTCCATCACGTTTTCTTTTTCTTTTCCTTGTGACAGAATTTCTCTGTGTTAACAGCCCTGGCTGTCCTTGAACTTACTTTGTAGACCAGACGGGCCTCACTTTTTCTTTTATGACTTTATTATTTTATTGTCTGGCTTTTCTCTATGTGATTTTTTAAAAGCCCTGCATTTTAGTCTACTGTGTGTGTGTGATATAGGTAGGACCGCGTGCCCTGGTGTGCATGTAGAGGTCAGAGGACAGCTTTACGGACTGGGTTCTCTCCTTCTGATTTAGCATGCCTTCCGGGGATCAAACTCAGGTCCTTGGGTTTGTCCAGAAAGAACTTTCCCCACCAACTGTCTCACAACCTCCTTTCCTGACAAGTCTCTGTGACCAGGCTACAGGGTGCAATAATCCCACCTCAGCCTCCCAGGTGCTGAGATTACAAGTGTCAACCACCATACTTGGCTGAGGGTAATAGTTTTATTTTTTTAATGTGTTTACTCTTCAGAGACATGGTTTCGTGTAGCCCAGGCTGGCCTCATGATTGCTCTGTAGCCAAGGGTGACCTTGAACTCCTGACCCTCCTGGCTCAACTTCCCCAGTTGATGAGATTACGGACAACACTACCATACTCAGCAATCTCGGTCTTTTAAAACAGGCAGCCACTTAGCCCTGGGCATATGGTTTTCTGTTTACCTCTGCAGCAAGTCACCTAAGATGAGGGAGCCCTGAAGAGGTTAACTGTCTTCCAGCATTGTGAGACTGGGGAATCCATTGAGAAGAATATGTCTGGGCCAGGCAGTGTGGCGCACGCCTTTAATCCCAGCACTCCAGAGGCAGAGGCAGGCGGATCTCTGTGAGTTCGAGGCCAGCCTGGTCTCCAGAGCGAGTGCCAGGACAGTCTCCAAAACCACAGAGAAACCCTGCCTCAAACACACACACACCACACATATATATACACAAAGAAGAAGAAGATGATGATGATGATGATGATCTGGTCTGGGGCCTGGCTTCACCGTCTCCCACAGGGCAAGCTAAGCTGGACTAAACACAGAGGAAGTGGAGTGCTGCCCCCCCCCAAATCCTCCGGATCCCCCTAGATGCCCCCGGCTGACTCTGCCAATAATACATTGCTCTTTTGCCCTTAATCCTGAGCGTTCTCCTTGTGAGGGCTGAAGGGAATCCTAACACGGCTCTTCCTTGTGGGAAGTTCCTGTAGAGTCTTCCCACAATTTCTTTTGGTTGTGTATCCCCACAGGAAGCCTGAGCACTCGCTGAGCCCCCTCCTCCGGTGTTATCTCTGGGGTCTGGATGAAGTGGGGATCTGGGTGCTCATGTGTTGCTCACAGTTCCTTCACCTTTGGTTCTCAAAGTCATCGACATATTCGAATTACCTGGGAGGTGGTGCTGTCCTATTCTTAGAGATTGGTGGGATCCTCACACTGGGCATTTTGAGCTCTCTTCCTCCGCAGGGGAGTCTCGTGAACTAACCAAGACTGAGAGCCCACCCACCTCATCTCATCCTTCCCCAGGGTCCAGGGAGCTCCAGCTGGTTTGGGAACACGTAGTTCTGTCTTCTTGACCTGTCCCTACCTAAAGGAAACGTGTGTGGGAATATACCCGGGGTCCCCCTTCTGCTGCTTTGCTAAACGGATATAGTATGAAGCTGCTTTCTGAATACATCCATGCTCACAGGTCAGCCCAGCCTCGATCCTTACCTGGGGAGCCGCTTTTGCTCTGGATAGCTATTAATTCAGAGGTCCACAGCTGGTCAGAATGCAGAGGACGAGTACCCACGCAGTTCTCAGCCCTCAGCGAGGCTATCTATATGGAACCCCCTCCCAACATCGCATACGCATCACAGAAGAAGGGATGGGAAGACTTTAAAAGCCTGAGACTGGGGAAGGATGCTGGGAAACCGTGTCTTCTGGACACATAGGAGCCGTTGCACTCACGTGCTCATGGTGGCTTTGGCTGCCAGCACACGGCACATACAAGGGCAAGTGAGTCAAAGCTCCAGCACAGGTGAAGGAAGGTTCAAGGGGCTCTACCCCTAGCTGAGGAGCTGTGGGCAGGTGGCAGCTGCCAGGAAGAGAGGGTGGGCTTTCTTAGGGGAGTGGCCCCTGGCAGGACGGCTGGGCTGCAGTAATGGCCACTTAAGGATGACACTGGACTCGGTGGGTTACGAAAAGACAACACTGGGGTGGGAGGGGTGACGGGGAGAGTCGGAGAGGGATTGGGAGTTGATATGACTGAAATAATTTTATGCACATATGAAATTCTCCAAAAACAAGTTAAATGGCATCTGTGGTCCTCAGTGACCCAGGGTGAGATGAACACTCGAAGGGCCCAGCCTGCTTCCAACTTTCTTCCTCTTCCCTTCAGTATGGAATCGTGCTGGATGCTGGCTCTTCCAGAACCACCATCTACGTGTACCAGTGGCCAGCGGAGAAAGAGAATAACACGGGAGTAGTCAGTCAAACCTTCAAGTGCAGTGTGAAAGGTAAGGGGGGCAGGGAGGTCCGGGCTGGGGGTCAGGAGAGAGTGAAGAACTGTGTCGCTGCCCGTCTGTGGAGCCAGCTTGGTCTAGTCCCTTCCTTAATAGCCCTCTGCCTTGGGATGTCGGGGGCAGTGAATGGTTTGAGGGTGGGCAGTGTTGGAGGAGAGGGACACACCCAGCAGCACACACACAGAGACAGGCAGGCAGGCAGACAGACAGACAGACAGACAGACAGCACACACTCAAGTATTCTGGGAACCAGGCAGTGCAGAGTGGCTTTCCCATATCAGAGCTACAGATACTTAAATGGAGACCACCAACAGAGGCGGGGGGGCACCCTGAGGGTCTAGACCTCTGGGATGTGCCTGGGTTCACCAACCCATGTGGCTGGCTACAGCTCTGAGGAAACAGAAACCCCATCTAGTGCCAGAGAAGCCACGTGTCCTTAAGGGTGTGACACTTGCCAAACTTCCACTATGTAATTGCAGCTGGAGTTTGTGGTCTCCGATCCCTCAGAGTATGCACACATTCCCGGGGGTGACACTATCAGAGAGATGGTGCATTTCTAGGTGTTCTGAGGGTTCACAGATGGCATCCAGGAGGCTAAGAATGCCTTCCACCAAGGAACAGCTAGCGCGAGGGTTCATAGGTGTGCGAATACACATGCCTATGGCGGCCAGGGGACTATCTCAGCTGTTGGTCCTCAGGCACCATCCACGTCAGGTTTTTCTTTTTCTTCTCCTTCTTCCCTCCCTCCCTCCCTTCCTCCCCCTCTCTCTCTTCCTTTTTGAGATAGGATCTCTCACTGACCTGGAGCTTATAGAGTAAGCTAGGCAGCCAGCCAGGGAGCCCTAGGGACCCTCCTGTCTCTGCCACCCTCCAAAGCTGAGATTACAAGCACACACCATCATGCCCAGCTTTTTACTTGGGTTCTGGAGGTTAGAAATCTGGCCCTTGTGTTTACTTTGCAAATACTTCATCACTGAACCATCTCCCCTTCCCCTGACAAGTCTTTTTTACTGTAGCTTGTTCTAAGGAAGGCTAGTGAGTTCTGACTGCTTGCTCTTCAGGCTCTGGCATCTCCAGCTATGAGAATAATCCCCAAGATGCCCCCAAGGCCTTTGAGGACTGCATGGTAAAAGTCAAGGAACAGATCCCAGAGCCCCTCCACGGATCCACCCGAGTTTACCTGGGAGCCACAGCTGGGATGCGCTTGCTGCGGTGAGGACCAAGGGCACAAAGGAGCCCATGTGGCCAAGACAGCTAGGAATGTCACTCTGTTTCTGGGAGCAAACCCAAGAGGAAAAAAGCCCATGTTCTGTTTTAAATTTAGGCTTTGATGGCTGGGGAAGTTGTAGCCATTGTTTTCATAGCAAGAAAGAAAGACTTCTAAAACTGGGTCCCTTCCCCGTGGTGATTTTACCAAGGAGTCTAGAAAATGTCAGATTGGCATGACATCTGGTCACCGGGTAGCCTATACTTCCTTGGAGAACAGTTATTTTTGGCATGGGTAAACAGTCAGTTAAACTCTGTGGCAAGTTCAGCCCTTAGCCACGTAGGCTCTACCCTGTGCAGAATGTTCCAGAAACCTTTGTAAGATAATGCAATGTCTACCCTCACCCAGGTCAAAGCCTTTGGAAGTTTTATGGAACAAGCATCTCATTCTATCCACTCTGTTCCTGCTGAATGTGTAGAACATGAGATTGATTCCAGGGATGGATACACACACACACACACACACACACACACACACACAACACACACACACACACACTCACACTCACACACACACACACATACACACGCACATACACACACACAGAGGCACACACACATACACACATACACACACACACATACACACACACACACAGCACACACACACATACACACATACACACACACACATACACACACACACACAGCACACACACAGCACACACACACATACACACATACACACACGCGCGCGTATGTATTGTGTGTGTATATACATATTTTATGTCTTTGTTTTGTTAAGATAGGTATGGTTTTACTGTTTCCCAGGTTAGCCTGCAACTTACTATATAACCCAGGCTGTCCTTGAACTTATAGCCATCCTCCTGCTTCTGCAAATTATAGGTGTGAGCCACCATGCCAAATTTAATGGTTTTTTTTCTCTTTTTTATTTTTGTTTTGTTTTGTTTTCCTGTGCTGGGCATTGACCCCAGGGCCTTTCACACGCTAGGCAAGTGCTCTACCAGTGAGCTACATCTCACCTGTCTCCATTTCTTCATTGTATTATTTCTTAGACCTTGAAATAGAATTTTTAAAATAATCCCATATGGGGCCTGGAGAGATGGCTCAGGGGTTAAGAGCACTGGCTGCTGCTCTTCTAGAAGTCCTGAGTTCAATTTCGAGCAACCAAATGGTGGCTACAAACATCCAGAATGAGATATGGTGCCCTCTTCTGGCCAGCAGGCATGCATGCATGCATGCAGGCAGGCAGAAACACTGTTACCCATAACAAATAGTAAATCTTTTTAAAAAGAAGAAAGACAGGGGAGGGGAGGGAGAGGGAGAAGGATTGACATGTGAAGCAAGCTTGTTCCTAATTTGAACTAATAAAAACGTTACAAAAAAAGAAGAGAGAGAGAGAGAGAGAGAGAGAGGGGGAATTCCAGAAACAAATGGAGATGTCATCTGTCCAGGGTACAGGCTGCTCATGGTGTTGGAAGTAAGGTGCTCTGCTCATGATGCCAGCAGGAGAGAGGACTAGGCAGGCCCGGGAGCTTTAGCACCACCACGTAAAGAGCCCAGAGCGCCACCTGCTGGATGGGACCTTTCTGGATGTTTCTTTATCCTTACCATTGCCAGAAGCAACCCGGGCCTTTTCCTCCTCCCCACCCCAACCCCAAGCAAGCAAGTGCCCCAGCTTCCTTTCTCCACTAACAAAGGGAGAGTTGTCTCCATGTGAGCTCTCTCTAGAGCAGTGGTTCTCAACCTTCCTATTGCTGCAACCCTTTAATGCAGTTCCTTGTGTGGTGGTGACCTCCAACCGTAAAATTATTTTCGTTGCCACTTCATAACTCTAATTTTGCTACCGTTACAAATTGTAATGTAAGTATTCAATATGCAGGAGATCTGATACATGACCCACGTGACCCCCTAAAGGTTGAGAACTGCTGCTCTATAGGGTAACATGGCAGGAAGGAGCTATGAGGCCACCGTGCCTGGGGTGACCTGGTAATGCTGTGCTGTCAGGCCTCTGAGGGCTACATGCTGGTGCTTTCTGTCCCTCCTGTCCCTTCCCCTTGCATGCTAAGCTCACACGTTTTGGCCAGGTTCCTTCCTATGACGCCCCCAGGTCACTGCTGTGCCCTCTCCAGTCTTCCGTCCTCCTCCGCTGACCTGAGCTGGATGGAGCAAAACAGATCAGAAGTCTTTCTGATTACCCACCTCCTGGTGGAAGAACCAGCCAGGGGTGGGGGAGGGGCGGTGGCAAATGGGGCTATGGCAGGGAACAAAGTGCACCCTACCTTCCCAGCCACCCTGGGAGATCTACAGACCGGGCTGGGAGGAGGCAGGGAGCTGATGGGAGCCCGCCTTGCCTCAGTACTTAGTCTCTTGTGTTCTGTGCATTGCATAGGTTGCAGAACGAGACAGCAGCTCAGGAAGTCCTTGAGAGCATCCAAAGCTACTTCAAGTCCCAGCCTTTTGATTTTAGGGGTGCTCAGATCATTTCTGGGCAAGAGGAAGGGGTGTATGGATGGATTACAGCCAACTATATCATGGGAAATTTCCTGGAGGTGTGTGGACAGAAATGCATGGTTTCTAATCTCCCCATTTATCCCATCCCCTGGGTGATAGCTGAGGTGGAGGTCCTGGCTTGGGGTGGGGGGATTTCCTTCTATATGATGCACTTCTGAAGCCCTCAGGGACAACAGCTAAGGAGGGGCATTTACACCCTGGACCAAATGCATGGACCAGGGGAGAAACCGCATCACTTTGCTCATTCCTAAGAAATCTGGGAGGAATCTAAATTGGGCCTTGGGCCACAGATGTTTAGCAGGGCATCCTGAGGGTGGCCCTTCCAAGGGACTTGTAACTACCTGGAAATTACAGAGTTCTCAATCTTTGTCCAGAGTCCCCAGGGAGAAGGCGTCTTCACTTGTGTCCCTGGCCTCCTCACGGTCCCCTCCCTGCAGAGACATTCAGACCATATCCCAGACTGGACCTTTGATTCCCCCACGAGTATATTTTGAATTTTCAAGTTAATTGGCGTGATTAATATTGGGGAAATCTGCCAAGAAACTCCAGGCGTCTAGCCTCTCCTGGCTTTTGAGGCCTTAGACACGGTAACAGAGGAGCAGGGAGCTAACAGACCCTCTCCAGTTTGCTGCCTGCCTGCCTGACTACGTCACACACAGCTCGTGTGCTTCGTGCATTTGTATAGCCCTAAAATAAGAGAAGCCAGCAGCCCTGAGTGCTGTGGCCCTGCCTAGCAGTAGGCCTTGGAACTTGGGTGGAGAGCCCGGGCAAGCAGACATGGTGTCTCTGGTTTTCTTCTGACTTCCTTTTCCCACTCCGCAGAAGAACCTGTGGCACATGTGGGTTCACCCGCACGGAGTGGACACCACAGGAGCCCTGGATCTAGGCGGCGCCTCCACCCAGATATCCTTTGTGTCTGGAGAGAAGATGGAGCCCAATGCCAGCGACACGGTGCAGGTGTCCTTGTACGGCTACACGTACACACTCTACACACACAGTTTCCAGTGCTATGGCCGCAATGAGGCGGAGAAGAAGCTCCTGGCGATGCTTCTGCAGGTGCTGAGTGGGAGGGAGAGCTCTGCCTTGGCTGACATCATAGTCTCATGTAATCCCGGGTCTCTTGCTCCCTCCCTCCTGTCTCCTTTTCCTCCTCTGCTGTGTTAACCACGTCCAGCAAATGTAGGAAAAACTAGGGAGGATCAGGACTGCAGTGATAGCTCAGCTGGGAAGATTCCTGCTGGGCAAGCATAAGGACAGGCGTGGCTGGGAGTGGTGGTGCACACCTATGATCCCAGTGCTGATGCTGTAGAGGCAGGAGGATCTCTGAGTTTGAGCCGGGTCTACACAGTGAGTGCTTTCAGAAGGCAGGAGTTCAGTTCCCAGCGCCCACACGGTGGCTCACAACACCCTATGAGTCCAGTTCCAGGGATCCGACACTCTCTTCTGGCTTCTGGGAGCACATGAATACACACACATAAATACGTACAAAGGCTAAGTGGAGAGGCACATACTTTTGACCCGAGCATTCATGAGGCAGAGGCTGGTGGATCTCTATGAATTTGAGGCCAGCCTGGTCTATATAGTGATTCCAAGCCAGCCGGGGTTACACAGAGAGACCTTTGCTCAAAATCATCACCATCATCATCACCATCATCATCTTACTAAAAGAAATAAAAACCAAGTATATGGCACTGGAGGAGCAACACCTAAAATTGACCTCCGGCCTCCACAGGTGTGTGCACAAATGCACCTGTGAGAGTACACACACACACACACTCACACACACATTCTCTCTCACACACACACATATTCTCTCTCTCTCTCACATACACACACACTCTCTCTCTCTCTCACACACACTCACACACACATACTCTCTCTCACACACACACACACTCACACACACACACTCTCTCTCACACACACACACACTCACACACACACACTGTCTCACACATTCTCTCTCTCTCTCTCACACACACATACACACACACACACACACATACACGCGCGCGCACACACACACACACACACACACACACACACACACACACACACGCGCACACACACCAGGTCCTCATGGTTGAGCAGATAGCACTTTACTGTTTGAGCCATCTATCTCCCCACCCTTCCCAAATTTTTAGAATAAATTGTTATGATTTTTAATCATCAGCCAATGTTTGATTTATCTGTCTGTCTTATACATGTATGTTCCTAGTAAGCTAAAAAGGCTCTTGGGCAGGTTTCTTAGGACTCCTGCTCTCTCTGGTCGTAGAGCGCACCGTGCAGTGGTGGCTTTCAGACTCTCTTTGGGCATTGCAGGGTAGTGGCAGGGAGAATCTTCCAGAAGGAAACTGTCTGGTCTCACACCTCCCTGTCATACCTCCAGAGCTCTCCCACTGGAACCAACATCAGCAACCCCTGCTATCCTCGGGGTTACAGCTCCACCTTCAACTTGGGCCACATTTTCGGTAGCCTGTGCACAGAGAAGCACAGGCCAGACAGCTACAACCCCGATGATGTTGTCACCTTCACGGGAACTGGAGACCCATGGCTGTGCAGGGAGAAGGTGGCCTCTGTGTTTGACTTCAAAGCTTGCCAGGAGCAAGAGGCTTGTTCCTTTGATGGTGTTTACCAGCCCAAGGTTCAAGGGCCATTTGTGGTGAGACCAAAGATGGATTTGAGGGGAAGGGGGCTCCACACCTCCAGGGGAGTGTCCCCCTCCCTCCCCTTTCCTTCTTCTGCTCGTCCTGCTGTCTTTATTTCCTCCATATAGCTCCATAGCACACTCCCTTGGAGAACTCACTGCCTCTGTCTTGCTCGCAGGCGTTTGCAGGGTTCTATTACACAGCCAGTGCGCTAAACCTCTCAGGAAGCTTCTCCCTTGCCTCCTTCAACAGCAGCAGCTGGGACTTCTGCAAACACACCTGGATGGAGGTCAGTATTGGAAAGAGAGTGAGCTTCAGGGGGGACAGTGCAGCAGAATGTGTGTGTGTGTGTGTGTGTGTGTGTCGTGGGAGAGCATGGCACTTGTTTACTTGGTGTAAACAACCTCCGTGACCTTCTGGATTATGAGGCAACACTGGGTAGATATTTCAATTCTTGTACAATTGTGTTATGTCACTTTCATCTTGAAGTTCCGAGTGATGGGTTTGAAACTCTGCTGTCACCCTCAGGTGCTCCCAAGTGCAGGTCTGGGAATCACCTGCCCACTCCTGTCTCAGGTTTCTTTACCTCCCTTCCAGCTCCCGTCCCTGCTCCCCAGATTTGATGAGGTGTATGCCCGCTCCTACTGCTTCTCAGCCCACTATATCTACCACCTGCTCGTAAATGGATACAAATTCACTGAGGAGACTTGGCCTCAGATACGTTTTGAGAAAGAAGTAAGTCAGAGTACAAACCGTTTTCTCTTTTTTCTTGCCATGGAAAGGGGGATGTGCATGGATGTGGACGAGAGGTCAGAGGTTAAAGGGTGACCCCATCTCGCTGGTCACCTGTGAACACTCCAGGAAGAGAGGACAATGGATGGGTGCCCAAGAGTGGGGGCGTGTGAGCATGCCAGATGCCAGTCTTCAGCTCAGGCTGGAGCGTAGTCAGTACCAAGGAACGTTTTGGTGAGAGGCTGAGACATACAAGTGCCTGACACTTTTCATTCTGAAAAAGAACTGCAAGTTGAATTCACTTTTTTCTTTTCTCCCTCCCTTCCTTCCTTCCTTCCTTCCTTCCTTCCTTTCTTTTTTTGAAACATGGTCTCACTGTGTAGCCCAGGCTGGCCCAGAGCTCACTGTGTAGTACATGGATTAAAGATAAACACTGCCACCTCTGACATAATTTGTTTTATAACAGAATAGTTCACTGCTCTCCATATTATTCAAGAGACAATGTAAGATGCAGTGTTGAGGGCATGCAGGGTTCACATTAGCTCCTCATTAAATAAGACATTTTGTTCTTTAAAGCAACCCTAGGTGGCTGTGTTTACAGACAAGACTTAGGGAGGGGGGGGGCCTTCTTGTCTCGGTAATAGATAGGTGTTTATAGGCAGATGAAGGGTGATAGAGAGATTATATAGATGCTAGGTAGATTAGATGGATGATAGATTGAGGTATGGGATGGGTGTGGATAGAGAATAGTAAATGATAATTAGATGATGACGGACAGATGGAAGACAACTGGAAGGGGATGGGCAAATAAATTAGGCCCATGAGCAGAGAGATGATAGACAGATAGACAGCTAGATAGTTAGGCAGATATTGCCTAGTAACTAAGATGTTCAGGAAGTGGAGGGCCAGATGTTTCAGGCAGGACTTGCCTTGTGAGTCTGTCTGGCCACTACTGTATTCCCCAGTTCCCTTAGGATGTTTTCAGTTCTGGAATGGCTGGCATAAAGCCTACAGGATGTCTGGAACCATTCTGTTCTGTTCCAGCTTTGGTAAAATTGGATTAATCCAATCAATATCCCGAATTAAGCCTGGAACTGTCTATTTTCATGTAAGTAAAATTGAGTCATCTACCAAAAAAAAAAAAAAATGAGGATGTCTAGAGGTGTGGACTGTTTGCCTGTGAGCAGAGCCCTCTCCTAGCAAGTGCAGTCATCTGCCAAGGACACTATAAGAATGGAGGCTTTCTCTGCATTGAAGAGACATTCTTGGTTTAAATTTCCTTCCAGGCACTGACCAGATGGCTCATCTGGTAAAAATCACTTCCCAGTGAGACCCATGACCTGAGTCAGTCCCCAAAAACCACATTGGAGAAGAACATTGACTCCTGAAAGTTGTCCTCTGACCTCCACCCATGTGTTGCCGTGTGTGTGTGTGTGTGTGTGTGTGTGTGTGTGTGTGTGTGTGTGTGTGAGTGTGTGCATGTGTGTACATGTGAGTGTGTGTGTGTGTGTGTGTGTGTGTGTGTGTGTGTGTGTGTGTGCGCGCGCGCGCGTGTGTGTGATGGGTGATAAGAATGTCACACATAAGAATATGAACAGAAGCTGGGTGGTGGTGCACTCCTTTATTCCAAGCATGTGGGAAGCAAAGGCAGGCTGACCTCTGTGAGTTCAAGGCCAGTACAGCCAGGGATGTTACACAGAGAAACTCTGTCTCCAAGAACAACAAACAAACAAAGAAGGAGCAAACAGACCATAAGATTTTCTACATAGGCACTGAATACATTTTTAAGACAGTAGTCAAAAAAAATAGACCGAGGAGTTACTACAAAAATACAGAAAGCAAGAATTAACAATTTTTTTTTTTTTAAGATCTATTTATTGGGCTGGAGAGATGGCTCAGAGGTTAAGAGCACTGGCTGCTCTTCCAGAGGACCTGAGTTCAATTCCCAGCATCCACATGGTGGCTCACAGCCATCTGTAATAAGATCTGGTGCCCTCTTCTAGCCTGCAGGCTGACATGCAGGCAGAAGACTGTATACGTAATAAATAAATCTTTTTTTAAAAAAATATTTATTATGTATACAACATAATAAATAATAATAATACCCTGCCTAGAAAAACCAAAAAAAATAAAAAATAAAAACAAAAAAGAAGAAGAAGTCCAAATCATCACTTTCATTAGTCTCAAGGTCCAGCCTGGGATGTGGCTCAGTTGATAGAATGTCTGTCTAACATGTATTGTACCTGGATAGAACCCTAGCTTCCCCAGTACCCCACAAAACCGGCTTGTACATCCCTGTAATCCCAGCACTCAAGAGTTCAAGGTCATTCCAGCTATAAAGTGTTTTTGAGGCCAGCCTGGGAAGCTAAAACTACCAGTTCAGTTATGAAGACAAGCCTGGTCAGATTAGATTTTTAAAACTCAACAAGCCAGGCTGCTTCTCTGGTTATCACTTGTGGGCATTGCAGCAAGAGCAAAACAGGTACTTGCAAAGGGGTTCTAACACGTGCTGAATGTCTGTTACACCCTGTGTTAGCCAGGCATGGGGTCAAACACCTATAATCCCAGTACTTGGGAGGTGGGAGCATGGGGATTGGGAGTTCAAGGTTATCGTCTGCTACATAGTAAATTCATGACCAGCCTGTAATGTATGAGATCCAGTCTCATACTAATATACATGTTTTAAAAATTACACAAATTGAAAGTTTAAAAATAAAGGTTTCTTTTTTAAATTTGTTTCAATAATTTATTTAACTTTTTTTTTTTTTTTTTTTTTTTTTTTTTTTTTTTTTTTTTGGGGGGGGGTTTTCTGTGTTGGTTTTGGGGGCTGTCCTGGAACTGGCTCTTGTAGCCCAGGCTGTTCTTGAACTAACAGAGATCCGCCTGCCTCTGCCTCCCCAGTGCTGGGATTAAAGGTGTGGGCCACCAATGCCCGGCTTAACATTTATTTTATACACATTAGGGTGAAGGTATCAGATCCCCTGGAACTAGAGTTACAGACAGTTGTAAGCCTACCATGTGGATGCTGGGGATTGAACCCAGGTCCAGAACAGTCAGTGCTCTTAGCCACTGAACCATCTCTCCAGCCCGAAGAGGGGGAAAAAACGGTTTCTTAATATCAAGCAAAGGACCAGTGAAATGGCTCAGTGGATAGAGATGCTTGCCTCCAGGTCTGACTCTCTGAGTTCCATCCTAGGATCCACTTGGTAGGAGAGAATCTACTCCTGAAAGTTGTCTGTGTTTTCTACATGCATGCTGTGGTAAGCTTACACCCACATGAAGGTACACACACACACACACACACACACACACACACACACACACACACACACACCACTAAGCAAAAGTATAATAAATAAATAGTAACAAGCAAATACTACCCACAGAAGAAACCTGTGCTGTCATTTAATATCTGGCTAAACAGTTTTGAAGAGCATCATTTGAGGTTAAGGATACAGAGGATAAATGTGATTCACTATAAAGATTGCAAACTCAGGCTGGAGACATGACTCAGAGGTTAAGAGCACTGACTGCTCTTCCAGAGGTACTGAGTTCAATTCCCAGCAACCACATGGTGGCTCACTACCATCCGTTATGAGATCTGGTGCCCTCTTCTGGTGTGCAGATATACATGAAAGCATAATGTTGTCTACATAATAAATAAATAAAATCTTTAAAACAAAAAAAAAAAGATTGAAAACTCAAAATATGGAGATGCCTCAAACAAACAAACGACCTAAAATACGGTAGTCAAAAAGAAGATGGAAACCCAGATGTATTGGCGCACACCTTTAATCCCAGTACTCTAGAGACAAAGACAGGTGGATCTCTGAGTTCCAGGCCAGCCTGGTCTACAGAGTGAGTTCTAGGCCAGGAGGAGTTACTTAATGAGTAACTCCTGTTTTAAAAGAGGGTCAGGGGAAGGGAAGGGCAGAGGAGAGAAGGGCAGGGCAGGGCAGGGCAGGGCAGGGCAGAGGAGGGCAGAGGAGGGCAGAGAAGGGAAGATGGACGACCAGAAGAAACGGACACTGTGGGCTTCTCATTTAGGCTGCACGCGATTCCTAGGAACCAATCTTAGGTTGGGTGAAGACCTTCTAACCCTTTCCTTAACCACAAACACTCCTGTTTCCCTTCGCAATAGGGATGTTTTCACTGCTGGGGCCATGCTTGCTCGGCTTAGATGGGGTTGTGGGGAACTCAGTTTTCTGATTGTAGTATTAAAGGGGGTCCCAAAATTCTTTGTGGCTGTGGTGTAGTATCAGAACATAGGCAAGCCCTTTGGCTTTCTTAGACATGGTTCTCTTCAGGGTGCCCTTGTGGGGCTGACAGTAGTGTGGGCTGGGAACAGCCTGCAGCTCTGCCTGAGACCTGAACCACCCATTCTCCTCCACAGGTGGGGAACAGCAGCATTGCCTGGTCCCTAGGCTACATGCTCAGCTTGACCAACCAGATCCCAGCTGGAAGTGCCCTGATCCGTCTACCCATACAGCCACCGGTTTTTATGGGAGTGCTGGCCTTCTTCACGGCCATTGCCCTGCTGTGTCTGGCATTTCTTTTGTATCTGTGTTCAGCATTCAGGACAAAGGGACGCTCCGAGAATGCCTTCGACCAAGCAGTAGACTCTGACTGAGTCTCCAAGCAGCAACCTGAGCCCAAGGCTGCCTGTAACCCGCCTTGAGTGACACCAGGCAGAGTGAGCAAAGTGGCTGCCACCGGGACCTGCTCCATGGTCACATGCCAAGGTCATGTGTCTTGCAGCTACTGGTTCCTGCCAGAGAACCTCCCCGGAGAGTCCCTTAACTACCCAGCGAGAAGAGTTGCCCCCTGTGACCCCTCCCCACCTGATCGCTGATCCACTGGGAATCAAGGAGACACAGGCAGTCACGTTCAGAGACTCCATCCACTCTGGAGGAAGTTGGGAATATAATAGTTAATGGGGAGGTACTGACCACAGGGCTCAGTTTCCATTTTCTCTCCATCACTATTCTTCCTAGCAATGCACCCATGAAGGCTCTGACTGAGACATCTCACCCATGCTCTGTCCTGGAGCGGTAAGGCTCTCCTGTCTTTTAGTTGAGTCCAGCCCTATCAAGCCACTGATACTTTCTTTTAGCAATCCCATAAGCACTGAGCTCCCTGACGTTAGTGGGAAAGGTGCTAGTGTAAAGTCTCAGGTAGCCCATGCTAGCCTCCAATTCACTGTGTGGCCGAGGGTGACCTTCGGCTTCTGATCTGCTCCCGAGTCCTGCAATTATGGCTATGAATCATGGTACCAGTTTATGAGAAGCTAGGGCTAGAACCCCAGGGATTCATGAATGCTAGGCAACTATTCTACCAACTGAACCTTATCCCCAGCTCAGAAAACTCTGTGGTCCCAAGGATTCCTGGCCTCTGTCACGTAGACAGAGCCTGAAGCACACAGATGCATAGAAGTCCCTAAAAACGGTAGCTATCCTCATTGTGGAATTCCCACTCGGGGCTCTGGTCATGAGATTAGACTCGGTGTGTGTGGTCATCCTTGTGTAATTGTCTCACTGCTGTGTCCTCCTCTAAATCACACCCAGTCGGCTGCCCCAGAGTGGATCTCATTGACCCGGCAAGCCTCTTGCTCAGGGCTGACTTTCTGCTGTCACCATGGCATGTGGCTTTCCCACAACTCTCACAGGCATACTTGACCCAGTGCTAAGACATCCCAGTCTGGAATTTCTGGTCAATTATTTCACCTGGTTACAATTCTCCCCAAGTAGCTGCTGCACGTCTAGATATTGGAAAGAAAGGGCAGCCTTGGGAATATTCACCTCCAAAGTGGGATGGGAAAGGGCTTCAGCAAGCCCAGGAGCTACAGATACAGGTCAATGCTGTTTCGCATGGCTGGTTGTCAGCACCATGTGGAATAAACTCTTATTTTTATTTTGCAACGTGTGTCTGTTAAATATGAAGAATATGAGGCCCTTTCTCCGAAGGAGATAGGGTGGTATTTTTTAAAAGAAGGGGATTCTCACTATGTAGCTCTGCCTCTGCTCCTTGGTGTTGGGATTCCGGTTTTTATTTTTTATATATAACTTGAGTTCCGGGTACTGAACACAGATCTTCAGGTTTGCGTGTCTTTTACTGACCAACTGGGCCATCTCCCCAGCCCTTGTTTTGGCTTTGAGATGGGTCTTGCACAAACTCACAAAGATGCATAAATCAGAATAAAAACAGGTGCTGGAAGATGGCTCATTGGCTGCTCTTCTAGTGGACCTGGGCTCAGTCCCCCCCCCACCACCAATATGCAGCTCACAACTGTCTGTGTCTCTAGTCCCGGGGAGCTGATTCCCTCTGCTAGCCTCCTCCAGCACTGAATGCATGTGGTTCATAGCCAAACATGCAAACAGAATGCCGCACGCATAAAAGTTAGTAAATGAAAAACGTTTTAAATAAAAATAAATTTTAGAATGTCAAACATTTTGGTTTTACTTGCCAATCTCTGACTTCTGGGAGCCTCCCAGTTTATTTATTTAAAAACAAACGCGTGTCTAATAAAGCCGGAACATTTCCATGCTTGCTTTTAGAAGTGCTGAGTGTTCAGCATCATGGCTGAATAACACATTCTTAGTTGTATAGGTCCAAAAGCCAGCTCTGGGTGTCTCTCCCCTTGCCAAAGGCATGCCTTCTTTGGTTGTCTTTGCTTCTCACACCAGTAAGTGAGCTCTCCCTGATAATCCTTACTTGGCTGTGTTCTGCACACATTATACACACCACAGATGTCTCAATCCTGCTGTGTCTATGTACTCATAAAGCCACACCTGTCCCATACCCTTACACTGTCCCAGCTATCTCAACTCTCATGGCCCTACATCTGTGCTCCTTCTACAGATACCTATACCCCTAAAATGTCTCACACACACACACACACACACACACACACACACACACACACCACTGGCTCTCTACCACCCCTGCTGCTCACACAGAGGTACTGCTTTTCACACACTCACACCTGATCTCCAACTCCAAACTGTGCGTATTGGTACAGCCCAGCCTTATTGCTCCCACCTCAGCCTCCTGAGGAGCTGGGATTGCAAGTACACACCACCACACCTACTATACAGAGAACTCTGAAATGCCATTTCACAGTGGAAAAGAGGTGAGAGGCTGATCTAGCCAACATCATTGCCAGAGAGGGGCAGAGGGAAGAACTAACTGAGCTATTCCACTGTATTTCTAGCTGGCTGGTCATCTAGCCCAGGGACTTACCAGTCTCACACCCCACCTCACCACCGTGATTACAAGTTTACACTATAATGTATGGCTTCTTTCCAGCCCCCTCTAATGTGGATTCCAGGGGTTGAGCTCCGGTTCTCACACTCATGTGGCAAGCACATCACCAACTAAGCCACCTCCCCAGCCCTCGTTTTGGTTTTGAGAAAGTTTTGCCATGCATCCCTGGCACCCAGCCTAGCTTGGCACCTTCTGCCTCAGCCACCTGTGTGCTGGGATTACAGCCACGCACTGCCACACACAGCTTATACACAATCAATATCTTGCTTTGTAAAAACAACTGGAGATGTCACCTAAGACTTCCTTCCAAAGCTTTTATGACCTAATAATAAAAAGAATCAAGGAAATACATAGGACCACCTGTGTTTAAGAACGACCCATGCATGTCTGTTTTGTTCCTGAACCACTGTGATGGGCTTTGAGTGTATTCATTTTGGCAGTGTTGGAGGTTTGAACCCAGGTTCTCACGTACCTAGGAAAACTCCACTGAGTCACATTCCTAATCCAACTGCTGCTTGTCCCATGCTTCACCTCTCAAGCCTCCTACAGGAAAGCATCCCAGGACCCAGTTCTACAGAATACAGGTACGTGTGCTCTGTCTACACTGGACCACGGAGTCAGAACAGCCACCATAGGCAGATAACAGCACTCAAAACAAGCTTCCGAGGAACACTGGTTGGAGCTAGCCCAGTCAAGTCCTGTCAGTCTTCCAGAGCACCACTCTGATTCCCACCCTCTCCGCTGCCCTCTGGGTGTGACACAGCAGGCCCAGGGCCAGGATGGAGAAGGCCTTGTGCACATGTTGGGGTGGTTAGAATTTTCAGTCACACTCGGCACCTGTACCAACAGAAAGCTTTTCCGTGGGATTTCTCACACAGAACCTCTTCACTCTTCACTCTCCAGCAAACACAGACTTCACAGGAGGAGGGGTTGGATGAGAGGGCCTGGAGAGATGGCTCAGCGGTTACTAGTACTTGTTGCTCCTGCAGGGGACCCACAGAGCAGCTCATAACAGTCTACCAAACTCCAGTTCTAGGGGATGTGATGCCCTCTTCTGGCCTCTGCAGCTAAGTTTTTTGTTTTTTTTGTTTTGTTTTGTTTTGTTTTTTCACTTGGGGCTCAGAAATCCACTCAGACACCCATACACATAAAATAACAAGAAATTGTTTGAAACAGGCTCACTTGGGCCTTCGGAACGACTCAGAAGTTGAGTGCTTTCTTGCTGCTCTTGCAGAGAATTAGAGTCCAGTTTCCAGCTCACAACTAACTGGTGCCTGTAGCATTAGGGCATTGGATGCCTTCCCTGGCCCCCAAGGTGACCCCCCCCACACACACACACTAGAACAAAGTGGGTAAAGTGCTCAGTGTCCATAAAGGCCTGAATTTGGATCCCCACACGCATGAAAAGTTTCGATCGGTGGACTAAGTGGCCATCTAGTGTTGGACAGGTGGAGACAAGCACACTTCCGGGGCTCAGTGGCCAGCCTAGCTGAACTGGCAAACTCTGGGTTTGGTGAAAGACTCTCTCATGATTGAGGAAGACACCCAGTGTACTGCTTTGGTTTTTGTCAACTTAAGACAAGCTACGGTCATCTGGGAATCGGGACCCTCACTTGAGAAATGCCTCCAAAAGAGGTAAGTCTGTGGAACTCTTTCTTAATTGGTGATTAATGTGGGAGGGCCCAGCCCGCTGGGGGCTGTTTCACCCCTGGGCAGGTGGTCCTGGGGTGTATGAGAAAGCAGACTGAGCAGTAAGCCAAGAAGCTGTGTTCCTCTACATGTGCTTTAGTTCCTGCCTCCAGGTTCCTGCCCTGGCTTCTCTCCATGGTGAGCTGTAAGCTGTAAGCTGTAAGCCAAATAAACCCTTTTCTCCTCAACTTGTATTGATCGCACCAGTCGAGAAAAAGATCACCACCACAGTTTACAGCAAAATTTGAGGCAAGCTTTAATTAAATACTGGTCAGGTTGATGGGCTCCCTAGCCAGGTCCATCTCTGGGTTCCCAGAAAATGGCCACTGGTCATGCCTTGCAGAGGCTTAAAAAGGCAATCCCACAGCCGTAGGATGGTGGCACATGCCTTTAATTCCAGCATTCAGGAGGCAGAAACAGTCTTTTGGATGTCTGTGAGTTCAAGACCACAACAGCCAAGGCAACACAGAGAAACCCTGTCTCGAAAAAAACAAAAACAAAAGGGAATCCCACAAGGCCACTGTATTTCCCATCAGGTTCAATCAGGGACAAGCATATACCCTGTCTTGTTTAGGGGAGTGAAGACAAGTGGTTCCTTATCTCCCATAAACAATAGCCTCCAGCATTTCAGGCAGCATCTGTCCTTGAACAGGGGACTTACAGGGTAGGGGCATTTTTCTTTGTGGATCTTAGGCACAGTGACTTTGGCTCCTGCCGTTGCTTCTGGTCCTGCACTGACCTCCACCACGTGCAGATGGGAGACGGGTGTGCACACCTGTTCATAATAGTTGCATACCAGGGGCAGGGTAGCTTGGGGTTAGCTACTGGCACAAATGTTGATTTGTTTTTTCCCTTTGAGGCTTCAAACATTTTCCTCTGTCAAACCGAGTCCGCCACCCTAAGTGAGTAAGAAATCCGAGGCACACCCCCAGAGTAGCCGTTGGCAGAAGCAGTAGGGGCATTGGGCCTGTGATCGTCTGGGCAGTGTGCCTGCTGTTTGTCTTCCCTGTGTCTTCCACATGAATTTCTGCCACAAGGGGTGGGACCAGATGACAGGGACAGCTGCTGAAATTCCCTGAGCATTCCCAGGGCTTCCCTGTTGTAGGTGCCAGCCCCGCCAGCCTTTTTCTTTTCTTTTTATGATGTGGATATGTGGCTGGAGGCCAGAGGCATCAGATCCTCTTGTGTCGGAGTTACAGGTGGTTGTGGGCCACCTGATGTAGATACTGGGAATTGAACTCTGCTAAGCCATCTCTCCAGCCCCTCCACCCCCTTTTTTAAAATATTTTATTTATTATGTATACAACATTCTGCTTCCATGTATATCTGCACACCAGAAGAGGGCACCAGGTCTCATAACGGATGGTTGTGAGCCACCATGTGGTTGCCAGGAATTGAACTCAGGACCTCTGGAAGAGCAGTCAGTGCTCTTAACCTCTGAGCCATCTCTCCAGTCCCCTCCTCCACCACTTTTTAACGGGCACTGGGCAGAGGTTCAAGGAACCAGAGCTTGGCGGCTGCCATCTTGACTCCTGGGGTCATCGTCAGATGCTCTTCCTTTCATTGATTGGTTGTCTCTGAGTCTTGTGCTGCTGTGTCTGCTGCTTCCAGAGGGCTGCAGCTGGCATCTTGATTCCTGCCCCACTCTAGTGCAGTGGTTCTCAACCCGTAGGTTGAGACCTCTTTGGGTCTGGGTTGAATTTCGGATATCTTGCATACATTATGATTCATAAGGTCCTCAATAGCCCTAATGCTTCGGTCCTTTAATACAGTTCCTTGTGTTGTGGTGAACCCCAACCATAAAATTACTTTTTTTGTTTTGTTTTTCGAGACAGGGTTTCTCTGAGTAGCTTTGGAGTCTACTCTAGCACTGGCTCTGTAGACCAGGCTGGCCTTAAGCTCATAGAGATCCGCCTGCCTCTGCCTCCCGAGTGCTGGGATTAAAGGCGTGCGCCACCAACGCCAGCTTTACTTTTATTGCTACTTCATAACTGTAATTTTGCTACTGTTATGAATCATAATGTAAATATCTATGTTTTTCTGTGGTCTGAAGTGACCCTTGTGAGTCTTTCGACCCCAAAGGGGTCTCGACCCAAAGGTTGAGGAGTGCTGCACTATGGCAAAGACCAGACTTGTTTGGAAAAGGTTCCCTTGTCAATGAAACAGAGTTTGAAAGAAATCTGAAGCAGCCTGATGCTTCTTGATAAAGATGTGCTCTGGTCTTTCCAGGAGGAAAAAAACAAAATATTAAAACATCGGAGGGTGTGCAGGTGAGATGGTGGAGGACCTTGGGACTCTAGGTTATGCTGTCTCTCCTGTAGGTTGAGGGTAAAAGACAACACTGCCGGATGGCAGCTGGTGACATAATCTGGCTGCATCGTCATGGCAAAGTCCTGTAAACCAGAGGACTTCCCCAAAGTGTACTCACTAGACCACTGGATGTTAAACCATCTCAGTCCTCCCTCCCTGACCTGGGTTCAATTCTCTGGTTATGTTAGAGCCAGGGAACTCTCATCAAGAAAAAGGGGTTTTCTTTGTCTTTAATTTTTTTTTAAGTTAATACACACTTAGGGGAAAAAAGGGCACAGCTGCGACAGGGAGATCTTTGTCTGCAAAAAGTAAACACTCTTGTATCATACTGGCGGGATGAAGGGACAGCATGACCAGAACTCAGAAAGCTTGCTGCCCCTCCAGCAACTGTGGTGTGCGCCAAGGAAAAGGAAGATGGGTTCTAGTTTTTGTTGTTTTGCTTTGCCTGTTCCCACGTGTGCACCCGCACGTTCAGCTGTGCCTGCACCGCTGTAAAGCCAGTAGCTAACTTCAGGCATCGTCATTGCTTTCCAACTTTGTTTTTGAGACAAGGTCTACTGTGGGACCTGGAGGTCACCAAAGTAGGCCAGGTTCTTTGTTCAGTGAGCCCCTGGGACCCGACTGCCTCAGACTCCTGAGGGCTGGGATTGCAAGGCAGGCCACTACACCCATTGTACATTCATGTGGGTGTTAAGAGAGTTGAACTTCTGACCCGTCGCTAAGTGCTTTATCCACTGAGACACCTCTCAGAGCTACAATCTATACTTCTCTGACATTAAGGGGTTTGCTGGTTGTGAATTTTATGTAAAATAAAAAAAT